TCCAGCAGAGGGTTTGCAGGGGAAGAGGAGCAGACAGCACGGAGCATGCTCACCTATGGTAAGGGACACCCAGCCAGAAGCCAGAAAGCACCAGGTGTGCACATATGTAAATACAGACACCTGGGTTGAGAAGCAGGGATGAAAGGGGAGATTCTCAGGGGCTAGGGCTACCTTGCTGCCTCCTTGCCTGGTGCTCTGCCTGTGAGTCTAGGTGCCTGATTCAGCAGCAAAGATCTGTCAAATCTACGGAGGGCTCCAGGATTCTCTTTGTGTGCCCCAATCAACAATGAACCTGTTGGGTCTGGGATGGTTGCACAATGGGTCCCTAATTCACTCCCTGCCCCTAAAGGCCTTCTTCCTGAGTTTTCCTCCTCACTGCAACTCATTCTATTGCATGAACTACTGACTTCCCTGTCCTCAGGGTCAATGACAAGCCCTTCAGTGTGACCTACAAACAAGCTCTTGGAAAGTCCGACCCTGTTCACTCCCCCATCTCTGCCATCACACCTCTGTCACCTGCCCCATGACTGCCTGCCTGCCTTCCCTACCAGAAGGTAAGCTCCTGGGGCCGGGCCCACTATGACTCATCAATCTGGTTCCCGCTGCAGCCTGAGGGCCTAACTCAGAACCTGGCCCATAAAGGTAACAACAGAGATATGGCTGAGAGCTTGGGAGAGGCAGATGAATGCAGTTTCAAATCCAGGCTCCTGCTAGCCAAGTGGAGGGCTCAGTACAAAAGACAATCTCTGCTGCTCATTAAATACCTAACATAGGAATGAAATAATACATTAGTGACCAAAAACGGCATCTCTAATCGAAAATTGGTGATACTCTAGTAAAAGGAACCTTCCATTTTACTGAAGTTTTTAAAAGAGGAATGAAAAACCTAAATTTTATGGGTAGTCACAAATCCTGATTGAATTTTATGTGATTTGACGGTCTCCCAAGTAGGTGGTCAGTGAACCATCTAACAGGTGGGCAGTCAGATGCCTAGTGACGGCAGAGAAAACAAGCAACTAACATTTCGCAATCTGGAAGAATAAGACATGATTTACCATTTATTATTGCTCACTATCATTTAATAATCAACAATCATGGCTTACAGTTCATGTTATTACAATAGGCAGCATAGAAAATGGAATCATTTTATATTTAATATAAATGAAATATAAAAAATTTAATATAAAATATATAATATAAAATATTTAATCATTTCATATTTATCATGGGTACTTTCTGTTTATTTTGGTAATATAAAACTTGGACGTCAACATCAGCCATGCTATTAAAAAGGCAAAATGGGCCAGAATATAAAAGATTATCCAGGTTTATTTACCTTTCCTAAGAATTAAGGCAGAAAAAGAAACCCCACATCCCAGACCACAATGTTGACAAAATGACGGGACTTTGGGGCAGAGGCCTTCAAGCAAGATACTGTGTCCCAGGGTTGTTAAAGACATTGTTTTAAAGGAATAAATGACCAAACCCTCAATGACAAAATTTTCCTAAAACCAGTCTGCCTGAGAGACCACATCCCCTTTCCCAGGCTCCAATTTCCCACTGCATGACAGCGGGGCAGACTTCACCGGAACCTTAGCCGATGTTACAACCTGAGGGATGATTCCAGTATCACTATCACGAGTTCCCTTGACCAGGCAGTCTGGAGTGTGTCTGCTCATATGAGGTAAGGGAGAAGGACGGCATTAGAAATGAGGCTATCGGGCCTCCCTGGTGGTGCAAGGGGTTAAGACACAACCTATGAAGCTATCCAGAGCCACTGCAGCACGAGTTCGATCCCCGGCAGGGAGCTGCCCACACAGTGCAGCAGACCTCTCCTGGCTCACCCACTGCTCCCCTTAACAGTGTATTTCAGTCAATCCACCTGTTCTGTTCCCCACTCTGTCTCTGGTGAATCCTCTCATCCCTTGCACCTCTGGCCTGCACCCCAGTTCTTGAATGTATAAATAAATAAATCTTTTAAAAAACAACAAACAAACAAAAAAGAAATGAGGCTATCTAGGGCCACCTGAGCTATTTCAAGTGACATTTTGAAAAAATATGTGCCTTGCAGACTTGACTGGAGGGGTATGGCTTTTGCAATGACTGTCTCTTTCACCTTGTTTATTCCCAAAGGCAACTTGCTATTGTGGGAGAGCCCCATGAGCACAAAACAAACACTGATTTAAGAAGGAAGATACAGGGCTGGGCTCTGTGTTCCTTTCCTTCCTGCTTCTTTTCCTTCCTCTCCATCTATCCATTCAAGAATTAGAATTCCATTCATCCATCCTTCCATCCACCCATCCATCCATGCATCCTTCCTCCATCCATCCATTCATCCATCCATCCATCCATCCTCCATCCAGCCATCTATCCAACCATCCATTTATGCATCCTCCATCCATCCCTCCATCCACCCATCTATTCATCCACCCTAAAATTAGAATGCCTTTCATTCATCCAAGAATTAAAATTCAGAAAAAAAGACAGCTGTCACAGGGATGCCTAGTTACATACTTAGTGAACTAAAAAATGATATCAGGCCTTTACTGACAGAGAGCAAGCCTTCCATGACTGACTGGTTTGACAGGAAGGACTGGATTGTTAACTCCATCACATAGCAGACTTTTCTCATAAGTGAATTAGCTACATTTGCATCTCCCAGGTATTAACAAAACGTATTTTTAAAAGCATATGGTTTAAAAGCATTGACCCAAAAAAGTATATCAAAAAGTATTTATTAATGCCATTTTAATGATCTTATCTGTTGGAGTATTTTGTGTTAAATAAATTGCCCCTAAGTAAAAGAGGAATAGATTTAAGTAGCAGTTGTCTGAGAAATTTTTACAAAGACTTTTTGGTACATTTCCCAGAAATTGAGAAAGTAAATGTCTCAAAGGGCTGAGTAATACTTCCTTTTGTAAATAGATAATTTCAAAGTCTTTATTTTTGATATAATAGAAGAAGAACCTACTTGAGTTGTCATTTTTGGTGCAGAAATGAAAAGGAACTCAAACAATGACATTATTCTAAGAAAACTCCTGCTGTTCCATGTATTTTATTCATGGTTTCTCAGCCTTCTCTCTCTGAAAATGAAAATTAGGAGCAAGAGGTGCTACCAAACTCTTTCTCATTCTAACAAAAAAGTATGATTTGTCTTTTTAATCATAAAGTAGCTTCTGAGAGCCCACCCTCTCAATTATAGTTATTTTAATGCAATTTCTACTTAATTATTTTGATGAGTAATGATTTGAAAATAGTAATGATTTATCAACATGTTTCAATCAAGTGTGAATTTATAATAGGTGAAATAGTAACTTAGCCTAGGAAAAATTATAAATAACTTAGTGTAGGAGAAATGTCTTTACTCATGATTAAAATTTATACATACATACACATGCATACCTACATATATGTGACAGAGATATATGATGAAGCAATCAATACAAAATATATGGGAAGATAAATCTATTGCATTAGAATAAAATGTAGTGGGGGCGGAAAGAGAATGAAAAAAGTTTAGAGGAAAAATGAAACCACTTAAATTCCAGCTAAAGGTGGTTATAAAATTACCATGGATTTGCATTCCACTGTGTTCAATTACGGGGATGATTTTCATGTATCAATATTGATGACCTGCCATTCATTTTCAGAATTTCTGGTAAGCACACCCTCAGGTTTTACTAAGACTTATGAAATGACTGTCAAATGATTCCTGTTTCTTTTTCACTTAGAGACAATCTGGTTAACTCAAATACTCAGAGTTGGGAAAATCAAAATATTATTAGATCCTTTGTAATCATTTTGACAAGAACTTTATGTTGCCTGAAAATGTACAAGGCACACATGACATTTTTTTGGGGGTATGTGAGCAAAACACGTGACGGCCTCTGCTCTAAGAGCCTTGCCCTGGGCAATAGGTTAGTGACCTCCAGAGCTAGAAAGCCTTAGGGAGCTGGAGCTGCAACTTCTGGTCATTTTGTCCGGAATTCTTGAGCCAACATAGCAACCAAAGCCATTGCAACTGGGGTCCAGGATGCTGGGGTGTCCTACTTTTCCAAGTCCTGCCTGAGATGACATGAACCAAGGTGCTCTTTGGGGTAGCAGGGAGTCAGGCTCCCCTTATCACCGGCTTATGGGAGCCCGGCTAACCTCAGCCTTATCCCCCTCAATGTCTTTCTCTGGTGGGAAATACTTCTGATCCACAGGACAGCTCCTGCCTCTTGAGAGAAACCACTGCTCACCACCCTTCCGTGATCAAGGGTAATGGAAGGTAGGAGACTCCTGCATGTCCCTGTAGCCCTGCTTCTAAGTGAAAAGGACACAGCAGGGCCATTAGAGAACAGTCTGGAACTGTCTGGGCTGTAACTTCAACTCTACTACTCATTTACTGTCATCAGAAAGGTAAGTTATTAAACCCCTGAGTGCCTCAGTTTTCCTATCTACTAACTGATAAATAACTGAACCATGTCCTGGGATTAAGAGGACTAAGTGCAACACTGTGCTGGTCTTACAAGAATTTGTTAAGTGAATTGATTATTATTAAATGGAAAACTTTCACAAGTGAACTCAAGAAAGGAACAAGTGGGGCTCAGTACACAGGCTGCTCCCCACTTCTATGGAGTGCCTCTGAGCGCACCTGTGGGAAGGACTCACCAAACACCTTCTATCCCACGGTGCCCGGATTTGGCCCTGCAGCCCACGCTCTGCTCACCACTAGGGGGCCTGCTTACTGCCTCTAACACGGACTGCGCCTCAGTTCTGGGCAGCTGACAAGCAGATGCACAAGTGCCTAGTAGGACATCCTCATAGCTGGGGAATCCCCCTCACCAAGACTCGCCCCAGGCCCCTAAAGTTGTTACAGACCAGAGAAGGACTCTGCAAACCGACCTCTGCAGCACAAACCTCCTTCCCTGAATGCTGCTCTCGGGAGGGTGGGTGGAAACTGCAGAGGCATGGCAGCCTGCGTGACCCTATGTCCCACTGGATGGCAGGAAACTTACTTGAACACTGACGAGATGAATGAGGACCGGTCGGGCTTAGCATCAACGTCATCATTAGCTGCTAAATCCTCAGGCTCCTCAAACTCCTCTTCCACCACAGTTGGGTTGTCATCGTCTGACATCTGGAGAGAGGGAAACAAACCTGAAAACTGGCACCGAGGGCATCAGTGGCCTCAGGTTATTTTTATTTAATTAAGCCTAAGGATGAGCAGTCTTGCATATTTTGGCTCCAGGGCTGCTGCACCACCAATTCACCAAATGCTTGCATGTCCACACTATTTCAGGCGTCAGTCTGTAGACTGGGCATCCAGCAGCAAAGTAAGCCAATTCCTTGCCCTCAGGGAGCTTCTCATCCAGCATTCACAGTCTTGTAGATATTTACTGGGAACGAGAGAGTGTGAAGGTCTATCTACGTCTGCAACAAGAACCTTCCCCTAAGTTCCTGATTATCCTTGGCCTGACACCACTCAAAACAAGTACAAAACCAGCAGCAACCCAGGGCCTAAAGCTGTCTTTCTGTTTCAGATGATTTGATATGGCTCTACCCCAAACTATTTTCCTAGCTGGCAGATGGAGGTCTGTATTCCTGAATCTTCGAGAATCTTCACGAGATCTCTATTGTCTAAAAGTTCAGCACTAATCCCATCTCCTTGGGTTTGAAGCCCCTGCATTGTCTCCTATGGGAGCTGGCAAATTATGGCCCACCAAGTTTTTATAAATAAAGTTTTATTGGAACACTGCAAATCTGTTCATTTACAATTGTCCATGACCGCTTTCCTGTCCCAGTGGAGTTCAGTAATTGTGACAAAGACCACAGGGCCCACAAAGCTTAAAATATTTGCTATCTGGCCCTATACAAAAAAGATGTGCCACAACCTGACCTACGGTGGCTACCAGTCCACATAATCTCCTGCTCAACCTACTACTGATCTAAAAAGTAAAAATAAAATAACAGAAACGCACATTTATTATTTACTGTGCTAATTGTCTTATAAGCACCATCTTACTTAATACTCTCAATAATGCTGTTAGGTCAGTTCTATGTCCCTGGCTTCTGACAGATAAGGAAGCTAAGGCTAGAAAAGTTAAGTAACTTGTCCCAAGTCAAACAGCTAGCAACAGCAGGACTCACATCTGAAGCCAGCACAAGCACCCCATTACTTGCCTGTATTATATCACCCGATTCAGTTTCCTGGCTCCCTAGTATCACTGGGCACACTATGCCCATTTCAGCCTCTGTCTGGGCTAATGGCTCTCTCTTCCTGAAAGTTACCGCCCATGTTTGCTGGACATGCCATCTTTGCACAGGCAGATAATCTAAAGATTCTTAATCTTTAGAAATGCCAAGAATTTTAAATGGCACCTCCTCAGAGGTGTAACCAGCCCTCCCCCATTCCCTTTACATTCCTATATTTGTCTCTTTTGTCTGCATTCTATTTATTGCGTATGCAAACACAAAGGTGTGAGTTTATCTTGCTAAGTAAATATTAATTGAATAGACAGCTGGGAGGAACAAACAACCCTAGGGAAGTGAATTAGCTAAAGGACCCCCCCTTATTCAAAAGCAGAACTGTCCTAGCGTCATTTCTCCTAAATGCAGGCCCCAAGTTCCCCGTGGAAAGACCATCTTCAGCCAAAGGGAAATCTCTCAGACTCTGATTTCTGCTGGTCTCATCTCTGAGCAAATGCAGAGAGCAGAGGCGGGTGTGCACCCTAATATGCTCACAGATCATCTATGTGACTGACTGAAGATACTGTACCCCAGAGCACCAGGTGGGAAGAAAGAATGCAGTGTGGGGAGGTGTCCAAGGGAACAAAGCACTGTTCCCTTGTGACCTTCCAGCTTGCCTTCGGTGTGATCTGGGTACTGAGGACAGAACTGAGAGGGAGGAACATCCAGAAGCTAGATGTGCACAAGGCCATGAGAAGTCAGGCGCCATCTTGTTTTTCAACAGATCATGAATCTCCACCATCACCACCAGCATATTGGTATTGGGGGGCAGTTTTTAGATTAGAACCCAAAATATTTCTCAAAAACAGAGATAACCCTATCTCAGAGGAGATCAGCATAAGTCCTGGCAAGCAAAAGACTCCTGCCAGCTTTTATTTCATCTCCTTACATAGACTTGGTTACTTTCGACATGGATTGTTATTAGCAAAGCACAGAAATATTTTCAAAATTAACAAGTTAGAGTACATAAATTTACCAGAAAAGGATACTACCTTTGACCTGAAGAATTTAAGGCTTAAGCCTTTGCTAATACTCACCTTAAAGGCTGAATCTAGGATGTATGATGATAAAACAAGGTGACTGCTAAAAAAACAAGAAATGGAAGAGTTTAGGGAAATGGCTCTTAAGAAAATCAATCATTTGCTTTAATATTATTGGGACCATGGAGAATAATTCTGGAGACTTCTCTTTGCTCATTCAATGAACACGTACAGGAAGTCTAACGCTGGAAGCCCTATGGAAGGAGTTGGGGCTACCCCTGGGAACAAGCGGACCTGGTCATGTGTCCTTGGGGGACAGAAAAGAGGATGTCACTGATGTCAGGCTACAAACCAAGTGGCCACACCAGGGGACTTGACTGAGCTGTCGAGGAATTAGGGGGAGACTCGGTGTGATAGGAGAAAGGGAAGCTGCTGAGCTGAGAAAGGTGGAAGGCTGAGCTGAGGCAGGGCTCAGTGAACCTCTGACCAGTGCCATGAAAGGAGGGAGTCAGCTTGAACTCTTCCTCCTTCCTTGTCACCCTGGACTTAACTACGCAGGCTGATTTCTATAGCTCAGTGGCGGCAGGCTTTCTGGAGCTTCCCTTTCAAACACGAGGGCAAAAGGATCTTCTGTTCGAAGCCCACAGCATCTTCCTGGGTAGCTGCTGAACATCATCAGGGAGCAGCAAGCATCCCCTCTAACAGCCTGCCAGAGTGGGTGTGTGGCACAAGTCAGCGTGGGGGGCTTGCCTCTTACATCTGTAAGGCTACACGTTCCAGGGCTAATCACCTCATCAGCCGCAGACTTGGCTTTGACCCCTAAGGCCACTCATCCCACTGCCCACCTTAGCTGGGCCTGCCCGGAGCACACCTGGCCCTATTGTCTTGTCTCACCCCTTTTGTAAGACTCGGGCTGCCAAAAGCAATCATTCAAGGGGTACCACTTTCAATTGTTAAACACACCAATCTTCTCTTTAAATGAATTAATACATGATACACATAAAGCGCTGACAGTGCAGGGCACTCCCAGTTAGCGGTTATTATTATTATTACTCTTCCTCCATTAGGATTTTAAGGACAGTTGACTCTTGAACACCGCTGGTTTGAATTGAGGGGTTCACTGTTAAGGGACTTTTTTCTACTCATTGGTTCCATATTCAGGGATTCAACCAACCACCCCCAATGCTGGCTGGCTGGTTTCAGGGATGTGGCCAACCGTAAGTGACAGGCCCCCTGAATGCTCTCTTCTGCCCCGTAAAGACATTCTCCCTAAGGAGCTGGCAGAGAAGCAGGGGAGGTGGGCTTGTCCACTGCAGCACTTGAAGGAGGAGGGGGTTCTGCTGGGCACTTAAGTCCAGGTCCCCCGATGCTCCTGGCCATTGCCTGAACCCCGGGCCTGTGCTCTGCATTTCGGGGAAGAGGAACTTCCGTTTCTTCAAAGAGATAAGAGACCCTACCACACCGCTAACAAGGGGCAGGGGTGGACTCTGAACTAGGCGGAGGACTGCAGTGCCAGTATCGGCCCTGCTACCTGATACGGAGGACAGGCTCAGTCCTGGAGGAGGAAATAGCCTGCAGGGAGGCAAAGGTTAGGGCGCTTGTAGACAGCCCTGCAGGAGGTGCAGGGAAAGTCTTGGGGCTCACTTCCTGGATGAATCGATTCAACAAGTGACATTACTGCCCCATAAATGGTAAAGCTGAAGACAAGAAGGGCTTTGTAAGGCTGCCCGCCCTTTTCCACTTCCACTTCCACTCTTGACCCCACGTCAAGAGTCCCCGTGGGGTACCCCAACAGGGAGGGCCGGGAGCGCCAAGCCTGGGCCTGGGCATGCTCTGCACCAAAGTCACCTCCCTCACCCCCGCAGCGTCCTCCAGTGCAGGGTAAATGGTTTTCAGGCTTTTCTGCCCTCCCACCATCAGGATTACCCTGCCTGATGGGGCACCTGCAGTTGTTACACCGTTGTATGCCGACTGACTTACCTCTGCGGGCCATGGGAGGAGTTTTGAGATGGTCACCAAGCGAAGCAGCAGCAGGAGAGAGGCAGGAGAGAGAAGGGCAGAAAGAACACCAGAGAAGCCCAGAGTGAAGACTTGCGGGGGTCTTGAGGGCCTACCGGCCCCCTGGCGCCCCGGCACCCCTGCCCGCGTGCACCTGTTGCTGCGCTACATGTAAAGCTCAATAAAAGCCTGAGGAAGCCACCGAGGGCTCCAGGACCCTCCTTTACCCGTCTGGTCTGCCTGATCCTAGAAACCTGCTCTGCGCCCTCCTGGCACGACGCAGGGATCACGTCCTCCCCATTGAAGAGACAAGGCACAGACAGGGCCAGGGCCCAGGGCAGACAAGCAGGGGCGGCGGGAACTGCACCCCAGCCCATCTGACTGTTAGCCTGGGACTGGAGCGCCTGTGCCCGCGTCTACACCCACCCGCCTTCTCTCCAAATCCCCTAGAGCAGGGCGCGTCCCAGGCCGCCGGCCTGGAGAGAGAGGCGCACAGCGAGCGCGGGCGGGAGGCCGGGCCACCCTGTCCCCAGCATCTTCGCGGGCCATCGGGGTCGCCCGGCCAGACGCAGCCCGGGGCCCGCGGGGCAGCGCGCGGCGGGGGGCGGGGGCCGGGCGGGAGCGCGCGGCGGGGGGCGGGGGCCGGGGCCGGGCGCGAGTTACCTTCCCGGGCGGCGGGCGGCGGGCGGCGGGCGGGCGGGGGCGCGGGAGCGCGGTGCCGGGAGGGTCTGGGCGAAGCGCAAAGCGAAAGCAAAAGCTGCTCCGCCGCGGGGGAGGAGCCGCCTCCCGCCGGACGCCGAGCAGGCGGGGCGCCGAGCAGGCGGGGCCCCGCGCGCCGCCCCGGCTCGGGGTGTCGCGCTCCGCGGAGTTGGCGCCGAGGAAAGCGCCCCCGCGCCGCCGCCGTCGGGGCTGGGGGCGGGGCGCCCTCCGCAAAGCGGCGCTCCCGGGGCGAGTTCGCACGCGCGCACGGAGCGCGAGGCGCACGGCCGGCAGAGCTGGGAGGGCTCCGGGCGCTGCGCCCCAGTTCCCAGGAGCGCGCTCTGCAGCACTGGCCGCGCTCCGTGACCGGAGGGCGCCCTGCAACCCCCGAGCCCCAAGACTGAAGGGCGCCCCGCAGACTCCCCGGGCCTCGACAAAGGGGGCTCTCAGAGCCCCTCTCCCCTCCTCCTCCTGCCTGGGGTGCGGCCTTCGCACGCGTGTGGGGACCCGGTTCCCACGGCCCCAAGACTCCCCCGCCAGACCCCTCACTCCAGGCCCTGCGGGCTCAGCCCCGGGGGGCGCCTCTGCAGGAGCTTCCAGCTGCCGGGGAGCAGCCCCTGGGCCCCCTGGGGTCTGCTGCGGTTCCCGCCCCCCAGAAGTGGTTCCCCTCGAGGATGCGCTGTTCTTCACCCGTGGGCCGTGAGACGCTGCCTCAGCTTCCCCTGGGGCTTCCACTTGCTCACACAGCCCGCTCCTCGGGGCCTGGCGCGGAGCCTTCTGGAAACGTTTCCTGAGCGCCCCCGCGTGTCAGCCTCGGGATGTGCGGCCAGCCTCGGCCTCCGATGCTTTTCTCTCCAGGGCTTCTCAGGGCAACAGCGAGTTAACTCAGTTACACTGTGGTTTAAATATCTGAGAACAAACTACTTTCACTCATTCCAGAGGTAGCTGCTTTTCATGATCTAGCAACACCGTGTGTGAAAGAAGGGAGGCCTGCATGGCAGGACATAAGGCAATCACCCCTCCAAATATCCTCTCCAAAGTCTCCCCAGGTTGGGGACTCCAGGTTTAAGAATGGCGAGTCCCAGATATATGTAACTGGGGGATGATGGATGTGATCTGGACTTGTGACCATTTTGTACTATATATTTATATCAAATTATTATCTTGCACACCGCAAAATAATAGTGTTAGATACCAGTTATAGCTCTTTAAAAAATGACTCCAGGCAAGTGTAAGGGAACAATTACAGTTTATTGATTTATGTGAACATCCTAAATTTTTGAATATTTTAACAGCTTAGTTACTCTATTTCCAACATGGCTTTGCTATCGGTGGAATGTGTGTCCCTCTCCCAGATTCAGATGCTAAAACCTAACTCTCACTTGATGGAGTTGGCAGGTGGGTCTCTGGGAGGTGCTTGGATGGGGGAGCCATCCAGAATGGGATTAGAACATGAATACATGCATGATTAGAGAGACCAAACAAGCTTCCTGACCCTTCTACCCTGAGAAGACTGAGAGCTTGCAGTTTGCAAACACAACAAAGCTTTGCCAGAACGTGACAGTGCTGGCACCCTCATCTTGGATTTCCAGCCTCCAGACACCTGTTTCTCTGGAAACACCTCTCCTGTCAAGTTTGCTGGGACAAGGAGTGGTTGCTGCTTCAGATAAACGTGTGCCCTCCCTTTCAGAAGGTCCCTACCTTGACCTGTGACTTCACCTCTGACCTCTAAAGGTGTTTTGGTGAGAGTATCAATACATTTCATTGGATCCATAAAAACTTATGGTACCTTTTCCATGCCAGTCCTTAATCTAGGCATGGGGGAGATAGAAATGACAAGGAACAAGGGTCCTGTTTGGATGGATTTTCTATTTTGATGTAAGAGACAGACGGTTTTAAAAAGTAGATACACTAATATTTAATTTTTTACTCACTCAGTTTAGCTTTATTTTTTTAATAAATTTTATTTTTATATTCCCCATACAATTGCAACCCCCTTATTTTGACCCCAAGCCCTCCCCTCCCCGCTTCCCACCCCCCATAGAGTGTCTCTGGTTCATAGTTTTTTGTTGATTTTGATTTTCACTTTCTTATAGTTATCATTTTCCTGGTCCCTTATTTCAGTTTTCTAGATTCCTGCTATGAGTGAGACCGTCCGGTATTTTTCTTTTTCTTTCTGGCTTATTTTGCTGAGCATGATCCCTTCCAGCGCCATCCATGTTGCTGCAAACTGCATGTGTTTATCTTTTTTGAATACTGAGTAATATTCCATGGTATATATGTACCACATCTTCTTGATCCAGTCATCTATTTTTGGGCATTTGGGCTGTTTCCAAAGCTTAGCTATTGTAAATAGTGCTGCTATAAACATAGGAGTGCAGGTGCTCTTTGGAATTGATGTTTCTGTGTCCTTTGGGTAAATACCTAGGAGTGGAATTGCTGGATCATATGGAAGCTCTATGTTTAGTAGGTCCAGAAATCTCCACACAGCTCTCCATAGTGGTTGGACCAGTTTGCACTCCCACCAGCAGTGCAGAAGAGTTCCTTTTTCTCCACATCCTCGCCAACATTTGTTGTTGCTAGTTTTTTTAATATGTGCCATTCTCACTGGGATACACTAATATTTAAGATGTTGGTGGTGGTAATGGCTTTGCAGAGCACACAGCAGGGTAAGGCTCACAGAAGGTAGGAGCCGGGTTTGGGACAGGCGAGACACCATCTTTTTCATTTTTTTTTTTTTAATTTTTTGCACAGAAGAATTGGTGTGAGGGCTAAAGGTGGAGGGAGAAGGGGAAAGAGGATTCACCAGAGACAGAGTGGGGAGCAGAACAGGCAAATTTACAGAAATATGCTACTCAGGGGAGCATCAGGCGGGACAGATGAGGTCTGCTCTAACATGTGGTTCAGCTCCCTGGCTGGGAATCAGATTCAGGCTGTAGCCGTGGTAGCACTGAGACTTAACCCCCAGGCCACAAGCAAGGCCTGAGATGCCATCTTTTATAAGAGGTTTCTAGAAGATCTGCTTTAAGGTGACATTAGGTAGATAGTTAAGGTCTTCACAAAGCCAGGAGGAAAGGATTCAACTTTAAGCTGCCAACTTTCAGACTTAGGAGACAAGGGTAAACAGATAGGCCTTCTTGGAATAGTCCAGGATTGCATGTAGTGGCCCAAATACCAGGAATTCTCATGTGGTCATATATTTACATTCTAGCAAAAGCTAAACACCAATTAGTATCTTGATATGTTTTCAGTTTCACTAAAGTCAATAGATCGATAATAGTATTTACTATTCCTGTTGAGTGAATCAGTCCTGTTTCATTTCTTGTATTTCAGGGATCTGGCCTTTGTGCTGTAGTCATAGGACTCAAAGAGAAACTTTTCTAATTTGATGGTTGTGCAAGGGTGTGGCGTATTCCTTTGGGTTCTTTTCTTGGGGTATGACCGCAGCTGGTGTTGCACATGGCCTGATCATACACCGGGATTTGGTCATGCACATAAACATGACGCTGTTGTGAGTTCACTTTTCTATTTAGAGAAACAAGTCAGCTAGAAATACCTCCACCTTAT